AGAAACGGGGTTTCACCGTGGTCTCGATCTCCTGACCTTGTGATCCGCCCGCCTCGGCCTCCCAAAGTGCTGGGATTACAGGCATGAGCCACCGCGCCCCGCCGACATATTTAAAGACAAAGGAAAATCATATCTGCAACTTATTCTCAGATAGCTCAGAAAATAATTATATATGTTATATTATGTATGCCTTATATATATATATTGAATATATATTACAAAGAAAGAGAGATGCTGGGCAGTGGTTCATGCCTGTAATTCCAGCACTTTGGGAGGCTGAGGCAGAAGCATCATTTAAGCCCAGGAATTCGAGATCAGCCTGGGCAACACTGCAAGACCTCATCTCTACAAATAATTAAAAAATTAGCTGGGCATGGTGGCACGTACCTATAGTGAGGAAGCTGAGACAGGGGGATCCCTTTAGCCTGGGAGGCTAAGGCTGCAGTGAGCCATGACTGCTGTAGTACACTCCTGCTTGGATGACAGACCAAGACCTTCTCTCAAAAATAAATAAATAGGCCGGGCATGGTGGCTCACGCCTGTAATCCCAGCACTTTGGGAGGCCAAGGCAGGTGGATCACCTGAGGTCAGGAGTTCCAGCCCAGCCTGGCCAACATGGTGAAACCCATCTCTACTGAAAATAAAAAAAATCAGCTGCTGAGTGTGGTGGCGGGCGCCTGTAATCCCAGCTACTTGGGAGACTGAGGCAGGAGACTCACTTGAACCCAGGAGGCAGAGGCTGCACTGAGCTGAGATCACGCCACTGCACTCCAGCCTGGGCAACAGAGCGAGACTCCATCTCAGTAAATAAATAAATAAATAAGTAAGTAATGTTACTTTATTTATTTAGGGCACTTCATTTTTTTTTTTTTTAAAGAATTTTCTCTCTGCAAATAATAACCCAGGTCTTCTTACTGTGAAAATGGGAATAATATTATTTAAAGTCATTCACATTCAATCAACATTAACTACAGGCAGTAGATTCTATGCTATGTATAAGGCATTTAAAAAAGTGTATATTTTATTATGTGTGAATGGTTCTTGGTAGACAGTGATCTTACAGGCTGCTATATTATTGCTATTTTCTATGTCATACTTCTCTTCCCCAACTAGATTATAAACTTTTCAAAGGCAGGCTTCTGATTCTTTTATATCTCCCATAACATCTAGTACAGTGTTACATACTTAATAATATGTGCTACTAAACTGTACAGTATCTATACCTTACAGAAACATTTTCACATAGTGACAAAATAGCAGAATGATTAAGAACAAAAGTTCTGGAGCCAGAACACCTGGGTATGAATCCCAGCTTAGCCAATTATCAGTTTATGTTACAGCAATTTACTTAACTTCTCTGTTCCTCAGTTTCATCTATAAAATGGGGATAATAATAGTGTTTGTCTCATGGGTTTATTATGCAGATTAAGTGAATTAATATTTGTAAAGCATTTATAATAGTGTTATTAACTAAAACATTAAATAAAATGTTAAGTTTAAAAATTAAACAAAATACACCCTCTAATTCTCACAACAACCAAATAAAGCAATGCCTCAATACCTCTTTATAAAGGAGAAACAGAAAGTTTAGCTCTAGAAGAAATGAGATCTGTAAAGATGAATTTGCTTCCTACTGACAGACAATGGCTGCTAAATAACAGAATATGTTTCACTGTTGGCTAAAGCTGCCTGTATACCTATAACCAAATATACTATTCAATTGTGCAATATGTTTAGTTCAGGTACTTGAAAGTATTTAAAGTCACCAATCAGATGGTGTCTGGTCATCTTATATGCAGTGTTTGAATATAAATGAGGAAAAACAATTATAAAAAAAAATATGTTAGGGTTTTTTGTTCAATAACCAAATGAAATCCAAAAAAGGAAGAGCAAATGCTGCCAATTTGAAGCTAAATTTTGCAGAGAATTTCAAATGCCACATAGCAGCTTAGACATATATCAATTTATACATTACATGGAAACTTGAGAATGTAACAAAGTCTGTAAGGGTCTCATTATGAGTCAGCCATTTAAAAAAGAAACACGGAGATGTTATTTTTGGATATAATTTGGAATGCTTTCCCTACCCAAGTCCTAAGGCTCACAGAAACCTTGAATCACTGATGTCCTGGGAGCAATAATTTCCAGCCAGCCAATTTTTCAGCTATGTTGCACTTTAGTCCCTTTTCTCTCCCTCTCAGACCCTCCACCTTGTATTGCTTCTTTACAGCTATCATAGTAACTGGGACTTCAGAATGTGATACAAATTACAGAAACTTGGAAAGGTTTCTTTCTGTTCTGCTTTAGCAAAATATGAATTTCACTTTGGGAGCAGAGCAGGTAATTGTAGAATGTCTTCCTAAGAAGAAAGGCTACACAAACTTAAGAAAGCAGATAAAACTGAACTTCTATTTAAAAAAAAAAAAGGCCGGGCACGGTGGCTCAAGCCTGTAATCCCAGCACTTTGGGAGGCCGAGACGGGTGGATCACGAGGTCAGGAGATCGAGACCATCCTGGCTAACACGGTGAAACCCCGTCTCTACTAAAAAATACAAAAAACTAGCCGGGTGAGGTGGCGGGCGCCTGTAGTCCCAGCTACTCGGGAGGCTGAGGCAGGAGAATGGCGGGAACCCGGGAGGCGGAGCTTGCAGTGAGCTGAGATCCGGCCACAGCACTCCAGCCTGGGCGACAGAGCGAGACTCCGTCTCAAAAAAAAAAAAAAATCTGTCATATTCAAGTATTCACGTTTTTTCCCCTAGTTGACTTTTACTTCTCTGACTGATTCTTCTGTCTCATCTACAGGCATTTTGCTTATCCATTCATTCATTGATTCATTCATTCTACCAATAAATATCTTTGTACACCTACCCTATGGCAGGTGCTATGTCTAGAGCTGGGAATTCCAACTCATTTTATAAGGCCAGCATGATCCTGATGCCAAAACCAGGCAAGGATATCATGAGAAAGGAAAAGGCAAATTTACTCATTAGCAAGTCAAAATAGTATGTCAAGTAGATTAAAAAGGCTCACAAACTTGTTGGAGCTCCTCCTATCCAAAAGTAAGGTTAGTTCCTTATCCTTTATATCTGGGCTTGCTCAGTAACTAGCTTTGAACTAACAGAGTGCAGCTGAAGTGACAGTGTGTGTTCTGAGTTTAGGCTTCAAGAGACTTTGTAGCTTCTGCAGTCATGCTTAGAACCTGCTGCTGCTACCTTGTAAACAAGCCTGGGCTAACCCCCTGGATGGTAAGAGACTAGTTGAAAAGAATATCCAGCTGTCAAGGCTGAGGCTCTCTATGTATATTTTCCTTTTTTTTTGGAGGTGCGGTCTTGCTCTGTCGCCCAGGTTGGAGTGCAGTGGCACGACCTTGGCTCACTGCAACCTCCGCCTCTTGGGTTCAAGCAATTCTCCTGCCTCAACCTCCCAAGTAGCTAGGACCACAGGCATGTGCTAACATGTCCAGCTAACTTTTGTATTTTTAGTAGAGATGGGGTTTTGCCATGCTGGCTAGGCTGGTCTCGAACTCCTGACCTCAGGTGATCCACCCACCTCCCAAAGTGCTGGGATTACAGGTGTGAGCCACTGGGTCCAGCCAAGGCTCCATACATATTAATGAGCCCAGTTACAGAAGACTAAGATAAGAATGATAGTTGCCTCCTGGTATTCACATCCTTGTA